CTCTAGTTCTTAAGTACTCTGTTTTATCCCTATTTATCTCATTTCAATGAATTCGTTTGTCTGCATTGTTTACTGTCTGTTTATACTGCTTTTTCTGCATTGTTTGCACTGTTTGGTGCTTGTTAATACTACTATTTTGTTATATTACACAGCCTTATGCTGGTTTACTGTTTGCACATTGAGAGCCGATGTACCTGAGTCAAATTCCCCGTGTGTCTGTCACACCTGGCCAATAAAGCTGATTCTGATTCTGATGCTAAGATGCAACCTATCATGCTTTAGTTATATGATTTTTTTTTTAAATCATGTTTATAATTCTCTTTATTCTTCAGGGTCAATCTAGTGCTGCAATCCAGCTCAATCAACTGTCACACTTCAATAATTGACATTTGCAAAACAAAAAAACCACATCCCCTTATTTCATTCTTTCGAGGGTTTTGGTAGCTGATAATAATAGTAATTGTGTAATAATGTATACTATAATACCATGAAACAGTGATATTTTTGAAGCAGTTAATCATACCGTAAAAATCTCACACTGATGCAACCCTAGCTGCCAGGCCAGTGTACTCTTTTTGAATTCCTAACCTGTGATTCAAGTGTGAGGCAAACAACAGCACTATTCAGCTTTGGCCCCAGCAATGAACACTAAGCATATTAGCAGATTTCTGAGGAGATTGGAAAACCAGGCTTTTGGCCAGTACAATACTTTGGCTCTTTCACATGCCCATGCCCCCCAAGAAAAAACTTTGAGGGGAGATAATTTGATGTGTGTGAATGGCAGTAATTGGTAAGGTTACATTTCATGCCAAGAACACTGCAAATGCCTGGCAGCCACTTTTATGCAACACTCCAATTACCATGCAAACAACAGATGACCCACCTTGCTATGAGGTGGAAACATTCAGAGGCCAAAAGGAAGCGGAGTCTTAAGTCACCAACTACAACACCACTGTGGAAAAGTGGATTTTCACACTGCTGGCATATCAACAAATGTTCCAGGCTATAAATGTTTTGGAAACAAAATCAAATGCTTTTCTTCTCAAGACAATTCATAGCATATTTGTTTGGTTATTGTAGGCAATTCCCCCATTCCCAACGATAATTCTAAGGCATTTGCGTTTATTTTTCACAATAATCTGGCTTATCATATCCCTGTCAACAACCACTTTATACTACCGGTCTAATTAAAAGGTGCCTACATTGAGCACAACTCAAAATGAGCTGTCTAACAAGTTGTGTGACTTCTCAAATTTGAGAAGATGTGATGTGTACTGTAGACGTGTTTAAAGACCAAATCAGGCAAGTCGTGATATAAAACATCAATTACACACATGTACGGTATACACCAGACTCAATTAATACCTCTGTGTATGGTACAGTAACAACGCTTGTAATGTGCTATACATTTCGACAGACTGTAATCAAATGCTTCGAATCACACTAACTATGCTATCGTTAGCCCTGGACTCCTACAAGGAATTCATATTTTCGTATTTCTAGCTATTCTGTAGTTTCTGCTGTACAGTTTTTATAAAGAAGAAGAGTGCAGAAATCCTGAATCACAGCTTATGGTCTTATGGTGTATGAATTCGCTTTCGGTGGGGCTGATAAACACAGACGTCGGCCAACAGGTGGTGATCGTAACTTGTACAACATGTTCCACAAGATTCTTCACACATAATGCTGCTTTACTATTGCCAGTGTAACAATAACAAATAATAACCCTGTGAACGTGGTTTTCACTTTTTCCAACAGACAGAGCTAAATTTGAGTTTGGAAGTCAGATATAGAAGGCAAAACACGATGGTACCAGTTCAAAATCTCAACATAAACAATGATTAACTTTAACGGTGACTTCATGTTAAACTTAACGTTACCTTTTACAGTGTGTGTGTTATCCAGCTTGGCAGAAGGTAACTCCACTGCTCAGACGAGCTGCTGAAAATGTAAATACCATTATAGCTCTATGTTGAGTTTACCTGTTAAAATAAGTTCGAGGTGAGGAAAACAAGTGACCGGTCTGTATTACACCGGCTCGCTCCAGAATCATTTCCTCTGGAGAAGCTGTTAGCCAGCTGCATTGTTCTCTACTGTGTAAATAAACTAGAAGAACTTCCGTTTGTGTTTTTCAAAATAAAATGCATCTAACAGCTTTAAAAAAATATATCACAATTTAAAAATTAAAAGGTTTGTTTGCATATCTGTATCTGAAAATGTATCTTCGTAATAACTTATTTACTCTTAATACCAATGCACCATAAATGTAGTTATAATAATAATATCAATAAAAAAAAATAGTTTATAATATAGAGTGCTGTAGTAGTGAGTCCTGGAACCGGGTTAGCATTTTTTGCATTTCCGATTCCCTCACCCTGAAGTCAGTGGGTTTTTGTTTAGACGCCTGAAATAAGGTCTGTGGTTAACAAGGCCAATACATTTTCATGTTTTGTTCTATGAAATAATCAGTAAATATCTCTCTCCTCATTTAATGCTTTGTCATGCCTTTAAAAAGGTGGTTGCTAACAAGTGGCAAAATGAAACAGAGGCTGTCTGAGATTTTACACATCACAGAGACTCATCTACTTACTAATCCACCTATACAGCCTTGTTATTTTTAAACATGCACACTTGGGAACTGTTCAAACTAACTGAGAGCCATGATCACTAGCTTGATCAGGTCACACTAAGAGGAAAGGATTTTGTAGAAGAGGTAAGGGTGTTAAATCAAATTACAAGTTGGAAGCTGTGGTAGTGACACTGGAGTCATAGGACCATGGGGTAATTTGTTTATAGCCTAACAACAGCCTTTTACTTCTGGCGATTATATTTGGAATTCAAAAATCATAAAAAAGGTGTTCAAGATTGTCTTGCTGAACAAAACATGTAAATGTCAAACTGTTATTTGTCATAGAGCTTTTTTCCATAGGCTTTTGGATTATAGAGCTTGGGAACACGTGTTGTATTGTGGGGCATGTTGGCCATCTTGAAGACTGCATGCGAAGGTGGCAGAAGTTCTTGTCGAACAAAGCAGGATATTTGAAATGTTGTAGTTGGCTTGATTTAACCTCATTAATCACAATTTACATAACTTTGACTTATTGAATACAGTTTATATGATTTTGACTTTGGAGCTGTGGATTGTTGGACTTGAATAGGTGTTGAAAGGCACAGAAGGGACTGTGCAAGGGTATTGACTGATGGCCTGTATAGGTCCAGAACAGTTTCTTGTGTGGTTTCTTTCAAGCCTTGACAGGATGGCAGGTAGGAGAGATGATGATGACAACAACAACAGCATGCAGTTTAGTGAGCAAGAAGGAAATTAGTAGGAAGAGGTGATGAGAGGGAATAATATGAGTCGAAAGAGCCATAGGAAGGATGTAGCTAGCTTAGGTGGAAGAGAAAGTGAGGGAGGAAAGAGCATAGGACAGGAACCCAAAGGAAAATTGTTCAGTGTAGCGGTGGGGTCTGAGAGAGAGGGGGGGGCGTAAAGAGGACGGAACCGCTACTAGAGGAAGAGTGGTAGAGGTAAAGTATGCCCAAGTCCTGTGGGACAGAAACTTGCTAATAGGTTTAACAGTGAAGTGCAGGTGAAATGGTATGTATGGTCTTATACTTAGCACTTCTATCTGCAGTGGAGCACACTCAAAGTGCTTTTACACTATCTTCCATTCACACAAGCAACCACACACTCACACGCTGATGGCACGGCCACAAGGAGCAACTTGAGGTTCAATGTCTTGCCCAAGGACATTTCGACATGTGAACTAGAGAAACCGCGATTCAAACCATAAACCCTCCGATTAGGATACAACCCTCCTGAGCTACAGCCACCCCGAAAGTGGAGAAGGCAAAGAAAATGCCAAATGTTGGGAAAAGCAAAGTGGCAAAAGTAGTAAGTGTTTTCTGAAGTACCCCTTAGTGTTAGTATGAAGGAGTTAATGGAGAATGTGAGGGTGCATAATAGCAAGATGAAAAGTGCTAAAGGAATCACCAGGGGAATAGAGAAAGTGGAGATGGAATTGGTGTGGATAGAATTTGAGGGCAATAATTTTCCAAAGGAGTTGTTCCTTAGATTTGTGAAGTATAATGTTAAATAATATACTAAATACTAAAGCCTATGCAGTGTTTTAACTGCCAAGGATTTGGACATGTGGCCAAGGTATGAAAACGCAAGAAAATATGTGCTACATGTGGTGGGGAGCATGAGTATGGGAAGTAGTGATGTGTCAGCCGTGAATGAAATGGCTCTTTGAAATGAACGATCGGAGCTGGCACCTGCCTGGGAGCTGGACCTGTTTTTCTGTTCAAGCCACACATGGCTGGTGAACTACGTGGTGTGTGGTGGTGTCTGTGTGTCCGCACTGAGCAGGAGGGGGAGGGGTGAGTGGGTTACAGACAACACACACACACACACACACACACACAGAGAAAGAAACCAGATCAACCCCTCAAAGGTGAGACACCTGGCTTTTCTTAATGCCAATCTTCACTAAAGACTAACTAAAACTGTTACCTGGATGCTGCTTTTTTGGTCATATATTTTTATTGATTTTCAGATTTTCAAGCCACAACAGCAACAAGACAAACCCCTGACCCCTACCAATCCAATTAACTAACCGAGTAGCGTTCACATTAAACAGCAATGAACAAATACACAAACGCACATGTAGGTCTTAGAGAGAAGCTCACATAAATACAAGTATAGTTTTAGATAACATATACCACAGTATGCATCATCAATACCATGAAAACAAGTTATCTAAGGCTGTTTATATAATCAAGAAATGGTTGCCACACCTTAAAGAATTGTTTCTCTGACCCTCTTAATGAAAACTTTATTTTTTTTAAATAAAGGCAGGACATAGTCTGTCTGATCCATTGAGCATGTGTGGGGGGATGAGGTTCCTTCCATTTTAACAGGATAGCTCTACGTGCCAGCAATGAGGAAAAGGCTATAATTTTACACTTTGATAGAGGCAGCTGCAGTTCCTCTGGGGCAACCCCAAACAGTGCCACCTGTGGGACTGGTTGGATGCTGCTTTTTTTATTTTCATTTATATTTTGTTGTGATTCTCTAAGCTTCTCTATGTTGTTTCACTGTAAATAGTTACATTTAATAATTATTATACATACAATCAGAGATTGGCTCTTTTTTCAAATTGAGATGGATATTCCTTTTGTACTATTTTATTTTTTGTAGCACTCTGTTGAGTATAATAAGCCACATAAATAATAAACATTTGATATAATGTATGTTTTGTACATTAATTCATTTTATATTATTTTTGTTAATTATTTTAATAAAAAAATCTGAGGAGCCACTTGGGAGCCAAAAGAGCTGGCTCTTTTTAGTGAGCCGAGCCATAAGAACCGGCTCTCTTAAAAGAGCTGAAATTCCCATCACTAATGGGAAGTGTGGAGAGGGAGTGGGACCTAAATGCTGTTATTGTGGAGGTGGCCACAGTGTAGCATACTTGTGGGTTCCAGCCACATTGGTATACCGGGGAATAAGAAAGTAGATAAACTAGCCAGGCAAGCTGTCAATAAAACACTGCAGGTGTTACTGCCCCTGCAAGGCTCCTGTCAGAAGCAACTTGGGGTTCATTGTCTTGCCCAAGAACACTTCGACATGTGGGCTGGGGAATACAGGAATCAAACTGTCAATCTTCCATTTGGGGGATGACTGCTCTACCTCCTGAGCCACAGCCACCCCATTATCTGAAGTTCGGAAGTGGGACCTGACCCAAACTAGGCCTCTTCCATTTTCACAATATTTACCACTGTCAGGTTTGCTTGGCTGCACCTGCCTCTCTCACCTCCCTCTCTTTGGTTTCGGTTTCTGATCACGCCACATTCCTCAATCAACACCAGCTGCACTCATTTAGCCATTCACCTAACCCTACTCACATGACACTCCCTGCCAGTTCGTCGAAGCTCTTGGGCCAATAACCTGTGCTACATTTTTTTCCCTAGTATTACTCTACTATATTTTTGTATGTCTTTCACCCTTATTTTTCTCCCCGGTTCTCCTACCCTGTTTTCCTTGTTCTCCACTCCTCGGGTCGCTACCTCCGGATTACTCCTCCAAACCTCTTCCAGCTCCACCAGCCAGCCAGTGAGTGACCCTAGTGTTCCGCAGCAAGCCCTTTTTTCCTTCTTCCCCCCAGAGACTAACCCCCCCCACTGCTCGACACCCGGTTCTGTACAGTATATTCATACCCTGTTCCTATTTTGTTCACATCACTTGTAAATAGTCTGTACATTATATTCTTACCCCTGTTTCTATTTTGTTCACATCACTTGTAAATAGCCTGTATAGCACTAGTAAAAAACTGCTTGCACTGAAGTCAGTCCTCTGGGTCCATTCTTTTTTCGCTCACTCACCCTGTGTGAGCGTACATAACAAACACACTCAAACCTCCATACTTCTTGTCTGCCATCTTGCATTTCCTGATCCACGGCATGGGTGCGACTCCTCAGCATTCACTCCTGCTGTGTGAACTAGGGATGGGTGTATCAATACCCTGGTATCAATACTTCGATACCCGCTGGTTGATATTTTGGAGCTGATACTTTCTTATGTGTCGCGATACCACTGTGCTAATACAAAACATGCAATTTGTTTTCACTTCTGAGTTTTAGGTATTAAATTTATGTGTGAAAACCAGCCCAAGCGTAATTTAGATGGTCTTCCATGTCACATGATTATGGCAGTCAATCAGATGTCAGAGCTGAAAGCTTACTGCGCAGCCTCAGTAAAGCACTGCCTCAATCCTTACTCCGATGCTCAGAGTGAGCTCAGTCAGCAAGAGTGCTGTGGAAGCATAGATGGCCGAGAGAGAAAAAGACGCGAGGTGTGGTGCTATTTTTCACCCACAACCAAAGGTAATGCCATGTGCTCCATCTGCAATAAAGTGGTGCCACATAGCAGCAACACTAGCAACCTCTTTAAGCACTTAAAGACAGCAGACCCTGATACTTTTAAAGAGGCTGAACATTGCCATGAAGACAACCAGCAAGTCCCCTGCACCTCCCGCTGTCCATCAGAAGACAGACAGCAGGTGGTACCCCAAATATGCAACTGAGCGA